TGCAACACCCTACACCCCGAGTCTGACATCACAGGCAACAGTTCAAGCTCAAAGGAGCGGAAAAGGGCTCAGGGTTTCTCAGACTCTGCTTTCCACGCGTCAACTTCATCCACTTCCGTGGACCCTGACTCAAGATGCTCCGAAGGAAAGCTTACCTGAATTTCTTAGAGTGGCATCTCTGCTCCCAGCACCGTTTGGTCGCGAAAGCGCTGCATGGCATCAGCTGCGAGAGAAACCGCAGACGGATCTTTGGTCTGCCCAAGCTCCTCAAGGCTCTTCGCGCCCCAGCTGCGGCTCCTTTTGAGCCCTCTTCTTCTGCTCGATGCCCCAAGATGCTCCAGCAGCTGCAAAGCCACGGGATTCCTTTGCTGCCAGCCATGGCACAAGGCTGATATTTCCAAATCCCCCAGTGACCCCACGGATCACACATCTTTGCCCAGAGCGTTCGGGTGAAGGATGAAAATGCGAGGCCTTGCAAGTTCTGGATCCAGCCGGCATAACAAAGATTCCGACGCAGTGGAAGCCTTCGCTGCAGAACACTCGCTGCAGCCCTCAGTCCTAAGTTGCACTAGACATCTAATATCGTCGCTGTGTTTCTTCAGTAGTCTGACGTAGCTTGTAATTCAGCATAGAAGGCGGCGTGCCCTTTCCGTCGATTTATTCACGGCGGGGCTCAGACAGAACTCTGCTCAACTGCTCGACACTTCTGACGTGCATCACTCGAAAGTTTGAAGTTGTAAGTGCAAGTCTCGAGAATATACAAGCCCGCAACATACAACCCAATTGCTGGTTCATGTCCAGCCGCGATGCTCACTTCTAGCTCCCTGACATGGTGTGGGAGCGGGGTCGCCGCTGGCGCTGGGGGCTTGCAAGGCCCTGCCTCTCGGCTTCGCGACTCATGGCGCGCTCTGCGATCCTCCTGCTCTGCTCCTTTCGCTCCCTGAGCTTCCGCAGCCTGTCCGGCATGTACTTCTCAAAGCTGAGGTACTCTGGATTATACTTTCCTGGCCCAGGCGACATCGAAACAGAGCGTGGCATCCGTTCGCTGCGAGACTGGCTCCAGGACGGGGTGCTGTTGTGAACCGGCATCAATCCTCTCCGAATGCCAGTCCAATTTGCTTGCAAAGGCCGTTCAGGGTATGTTGTTCGAAGTGGCAGGACTTGCGTGGTCGGTTTCTGCGACGTGAAGCTGTAAGCCGAGTCCAACATCTCGTGGATCCAGGTGGCGTCCATTGGCTCCTCGACTCGCAGGCAGAGCTCAGGATATCTTGCGCCCATCGGCCGTGCTTTCAGCTTCGCCTCCTTTGATGTGAAACTGTAAGATGAATCGAGTATCTCGTGTATCCAGGTAGCATCCCTTGGCCAATGAACTTCCAAGAACGATTCAGGGTATGTTGCCTTCAGCGGCAGCACTTGCAGCTTCGCCTCCTTCGAAGTAAAACTATAAATCGAGTCTAGCATCTCATGTATCCAGACAACATCACATTGCCAATCTGCACGCAAGGATCGCTCAGGATAGGTTGCTCGCAGTGGCTTGGGTCTCGGCAACTTTGACAACTTCGCGTTCAAACTGGGAGTCGGATCAAGCATCTCGTGGATCCAGGCTGCGGTACCTGTTCAGTCCGCACAACAAGCTGTGTCGGGTCACTTGGCCCAGCTGAATTGTAACGCAAGCTTACACTGTCCTGGCACGACAACTGCATCGTCTTCGGGATGACAACGGATAACAGCACACGTTCGGGGGGATGCACATTCACTTCCGCCCACCCACTATCACGCACCCCGAATCTCTGGTCGATGTTGCCAGATCGTGCGACATTGACCACAACACTAATCTGCACAGAGCTCACTACCGCAGGCTCGTGCTGCTTATCGATTCTGTCGATTTCGGTTGCGGCCCGAGCGTTGGTGCCGCTAGGTCACGCAAACATTAATTGGACCCTATAACTCCCGGGCCCTGAATGCACCAACTATTCCTCTTCCACACTTCCTAGGTAACATTCACAACACCCTAAAGACAATCTAAAGGTTGTACGAGCCAGTCCACACATGAAATCCTGCGCACACAGATCCCTCTTGCTGTGCAAATCTGGCCTTGATCCGGGGTGCGACGCGGGAATCTCGGAGTTGGCCTTCAGTCTTAGAATGTTAGAAGCTTAATCGATCTGTGAGGCTTCTCATAAGACGAAAGCTTCATGGGAAATTCTGAGACAACGCATATCCGCTGATGATTTTCTGTGCATAGGTGTGTACGGCGCAAGCGCATGCGAACAAATCTAGTCCATGCTTGAGCACACACTCAGATTTCAACACAACAACAATGCGCATAGGGCACGAACATAAGAAGCGAGCATACAAATATAGTAAAAAAATCATATACGCATGTATATATATATATGTATGTATATGTATATGTATATGTATATGTATATGTATATGTATATGCCAATGTACATGTATATGTATATGCATGTGCGCACACGCACATACATACATACATACATACATACATACATACATACACACATACATACATACAATTACATACAGACGGACGGACGGACGGACAGACAGACAGACAGACACACGTACATATGTGCATGCACGCATGCATACATATTTGATTGTTTGATTTGAACTGAATCAGAATTGGTGCCTTCCTTTCTCGCCAAACTGCACAGCTACTCTGTATGACTCAAGGGCCCTATGGCAGCAGATATATACAACAGTTCACACATGCATCTCATGACTGCGGTTCACAATCAAGCAGAGTTCACATTTGCCGTTTT